TGTATGTTCCTTATAGAAACAAAAACTACTCGACGGATTTTAACGAAACTTGGTACAATTATTCCTCATACTCCTAGACAGGTTATAGTATACTTTTCATCACGCTACAATCAATAGGAGCAGAGTAGTGAAGAGAAATGTTGGGAAAACGGGAGAAGTTACTCCATTTTTTAAGCTTCCGTCGCGTGTGCAGCATTAATGGTTAAAGTTACATAGAAATCATGTATGACGGAAATATTCTACATAAAATTGTCTAGAAAATATCCCGCAACAGCATATGTCTATCTTTTATGGTTGACTCACAATAACACGTGTAACTCCCGATAGCTTAGCAGTTCGGAGCATTCTGATCATATTTGTTTACTCTTACGTTTATAATACTCTGACTCGTCCCTAATTTAAAAAAGTTAACATTATTAAATATTCAATAAAAAAAAAAACTTAGAAATCGGTATAGAAACACCAAACTTATACATGAAATAAGCCATCGCGCCGTCGCACGTGAATACTGAATCATGCTATAAGGATTATTTTTGTGTAACGGTTGCCGCGCTCGACACGGGTCGCGGCGGCGCGGCGGTAGGTTATCAAAAGGCGGGAGGTCCGAGAGCGAGCTGTCTAAAGCCCACCATTCACTACACGCACCGCGAGCCGAACCCCGAGCCGTACCCATCCGTGGACAAATCCGTCATTGCCCACACACTACACGAGCGCCGAGTTGCAGTCCATTCGCTTGTGTACTTTGGTGAGCCTCGCGCGTATCGTTCTTCCCTACCCTACCATGCCACCGGTGCTTTCCAAACGCACAAAAGTCGCTTCAGTAGACGGTGCAATACTTTTAACGGAGCAAAAAAAGAAAAAGCGCGTCCGGACAAAGGAATGGCTGAAACAACGAACAATATATACGCATTTAAAATTGCTGCAATGCATTCAGTCCTGTAAACCACCTCTTTCTCTTTAGTTTTCTATTTAAACAGCGGTTAAATTCTTGCCAAAACTCTTTATGATCGCCGAACGACATGTTATTATACTCGTTTACTCGTTCGTGATACAAACAACACAACTGCAGGCCAATTATGCTCGCTAATTGTGATATTGTTTTGATGTCAATTTCACATAACTCATTATGCTCTCCGAAAAATGCGATATCAAAATGACATCAACTTTAAAATGATATCAACTTAAATGAAATGAAAATGAAAATTTGTTTATTTCTTTAAATAACATAATAGTACAATTAGTCGATGAGTCCTCCTAGTAAGTTTTAAATAAAACCTGTATCAGGAGAACCCGCTCTCTCATCACTGCAGGTAAGTATCTAGATGATGCTATTTATACAATAATCGCCAACATAACTTAATATAACAATTTTGAAATAAACAAAATGCCAACTAAAATATATATGTGTGTGTGTGTGTGTGTGTGTGTGCGCGGGCGCGTGTATTGTGCATTTGTGTAAGTATTGTGCATATTTTATTAATCACTTATGTGAGGAATGCCTCTGTGTCTTCATAATTTAGCGTTTTTATCCAATTCGTAACAATACTTTTGTAATCCCTGTTATTCACATGATCAATAACCAGTAGCTTATGTATACGATTATATAGGAAAGTTGAGAGTGCACAAAATTGACGTTTAGCGAATAAAGTTCTAGTTTTAACAGGTAATACTATATTGTGCACTCTCCTTCGGGTCTCCGTAATAGGTTTAAAAGTTATTTTTGTACGCAACTTAAGAGTAGATCTTAATATGTAAAGTTGTCTGACGGTTAAAACATCGCTGAGCCCGTATAAGTCGGTGGTAGGAAATAATCGAGGTTTAAGGTACATAACTTTTAGAAGTGAGCGTTGTGCACGTTCTACCTCCAAGAATTTAGTCTTTGTTGCTCCACCCCAAATAGAAATACAGTACTCTAGAACAGATTGCACTAAAGAAATATATATTTGGTTAATTAGCTTATGAGTTGTAATATGTCTCAGGGTCCTAAAAATCCAGATAAGTTTGCGTACTCTCTCATTGACATACTCAATTTGAGGATGCCACGATAGTTTGTGGTCTAGTGTAACTTGATATTTGACCAGATATTTTGTGGTAGAAACCTTCTGGAGCTGAGTACACATACAGGTGGAATAATTTTGCCCGTCACATTCATGTATTTTCAAGGATAAATCATTTTTAGGTTGGGTTCTGTTATTTATAGAGAAACACATGTAGTTTGTTTTGTTTTTGTTTAAAGTAAGTAGGTTTGCTTTTAGCCATTTAGAAATTTTATTAAGACCGCTTGCTGCTACCTCAAACACTGATTTCCACGAGGATTCAGAAAACACGATCGCAGTATCGTCGGCATAGGAAAATACTTTGCCTCTCTCAATGTTAATATTTGTTAGGTCGTTTATATAAATAAGAAATAGTGTCGGACCGAGGACACTTCCTTGAGGTACACCAGCTGTCATATCCATGTCTCTACTCACGTGGTTTCCTATTTTCACTCTTTGAGTACGGCCTTCAAGATAGTTTATGAGTAATTTTAAAGGTTCATTACGAATTCCGATCCATTCTAGCTTATTTACGAGGGTAGATATAGAGACCGTATCGAATGCTTTTTTCAGGTCTAGAAAAATAGCTAACGATTTCTTATCCTTGTCAAGCTGTTCCGTAATAAGAGATGTTAGAGATAATACTACGTCCTCAGTCGATAATCCACGTCTAAACCCATACTGTGAATTAGAAATGATGTTATACTTTTCAAGATAACTAACAAGCCGATTGTTAATAAGTTTCTCAAGAATTTTCGATATTGCTGGTAGGACTGAGATTGGTCGATAATTATTTATGTCACTCTTGTCCCCACCTTTATATACAGAAGTCACAATAAATTTTTTTAAAGCAACAGGGAAAATACCTTTGTCAAAACATACATTTACTAGATGACTAATTAATGGCGCAATGAAGATAACACAAAGCTTGAGAAATCTAGTAGGTATATAATCCCAGCCAGGTGCACTATCCGATTTCATCTGCATGATAATTGTTTTAACTTCTGTAGGGTCCGTTTTAATTAGAACAAACGAGTTCTGCAATCTAAATGGACTAGTGGAAGTTTTCTTATGTGAGTTATGGGGATCACTTTTTATGACATCGTTTGCCAATTTCCTACCAATATTAGCAAAATAACTATTTACTGAATTTACTGAATCAGATGCGGTTGATTCTATATTGAGTAGTTCTTCGCACTGTGAAGTTGTTGTTTTAAAATGTGTCACTGTTTTGACTGCTTTCCAAAGTTCCTTCGAATTTTTGCCTGCTTTTAATATTAGTTGCCTGTCGTATTTCCGTTTAAGTTTTTTTATTAAATTGTTACAAAAGTTTCTGTATCGTCTATAAGTAATTTTTAGAATGTCATTTAGGGGGTCAGATCGAAGCTTTAGTTGCATCTTATTCCTGTTTTTGATACATCTAAGAATTCCCTCAGTTATCCAAGGTTTGATACAGCGCTGATTTTTAGTTAGAGTTTTAAATGTCTTACTCTCTTCTAATGATTCTGTTATTGATGTCATTAGCCGTGTAATAACAATCTCAGGGTCGTAGCAAAAGAGCAACGACTGCAGGTTCTTTAGAAGTAGTTTATCATAAGCGATTGAGAAGTCTATATGCCGAACAGTATTTTTATTATTTGTTTTAAAATTAAATTTAGATAATGACAAAAATAATGTCAAATGGTCCGTTATTGATGTATTTAGTACTGCAATATTTGCTGATAGTTTGGCTTTGTCTAATTTTATCATAAAATGATCGAGGCTACTGAGGCTTCTTGTAGGTAATTTGTGTCCAGCTAATATATCATGCATGGCTAGCATATTCAGATATTCGACTCTATTATGCTGTTCATATGATTTTGCAGTTGCAGATTGAATGAGGTCGATATTTAAATCACCAGTGATAACTATATTTCGATGTGACTTTATATCATTTAAGAAAGCATTCAAAGATTCAATAAATTCGGTTGCGTTTTGTATGGAGGGTGAACGGTAAATGCCTATTATTGTCACACCAAGAATACTTAACTGTATACAAGAAGCATGTTTTAAATTAATTTCTTTTAGAACGGGTTTTAGATGAGTTTTAACATAAATCACAACGCCATCGTTCTGGTTTAAATTATGAAACGATTGTAACGAAGTATAATTAGGAATATGGGGAATTGGTTTATTTTTGTCCAGCCTACACTCTGTCAGTACAAGAACATCTATACCGTGACTTAAAATTGATATTGTAGCTTCCAAACTGTGAAAATTACAGTATATACTTCTAATATTTTGACAAAGTATAGTAAGGTCTGTTTTACGGATCTGTATATGATTTTTAAGATCGTGTATGTCACAATTGAAGTAACTAGCTGCTTCGGTATTATCCAAGTCCGTAATTGTATTTTGTAAATCATTTAAGACCATAACCAATCCATTAAGACTACAAGACATTGAAACATAAGGGCAAAATTACACAAACCAAAGAAACCAATACACCATTCAATCGATCTATCACTTATGTTGCGTAGCGATTTACTCTTTTCAGTACGCAATGCAACTATATTGAGGCATAAGATTAATCTGGGAATTTGGTTTCTACTTAAAGTTGGAATACATGTGACACGGTAAATAGTAACCGATGCACAGAGTAGAACATGTATCGTCACAAAAGATATTTTTTCAAGTAAATTGATCATTGTTTGAACGAAGTCTGTATGTGTGTGTGATGTCTGTATAGGGAGTTTATTTGTGATTAGTGTAAATAGTGTAAGTGGTGATTCCATAATGTGTTGTTTGCAATTTACAACTTTACAATATATAATTAGTTTAACAATTACAAGGCTATTAAAAAATATACTTAGAATATAATCAAACAAAAAAACAAAACATACCACTAGATGTGAACTAAATAAGAATAGTAGCCGAACGAGTCCAACTAGTCATGCTTCCTAGAGAAGGTGGTGTATTTGAGCCTCATTTTTTATTCCTATTATAGGACATTTTTTCTCCTTTCTTACACAATTCCGACCAAAGGACGTCCAGCAAAACTTTGTAAGATTTTGATTTCGAAAGATCTCTTGCTAGAAAGAAAAGTCTAGCGCCTTTGGGGGTTAGTTGTTCCGTAACAAAGACTGGAGTATCTTCATTGGTCGTGAATCCCAAGTGTTTAGCATGCAATTTCTGTTTGTTCTTGGTATTGAATAACTTTGTCTTTCCCAATATGTCACGTTTCAATATACTAGAGCCGAGTTCCATTATAATCGGAGGATTTTTTACCAATTCACCATTTCTTGTTCTTGTACGTACTCTATAAATATCTCTTATGTCTGATTTCTCGACTTTACAATCAATATGTTTGGATAAGTGTAATATCATGGTCAATAGCTCCTCCTTTGACTCTTTTTCTGTAGCTGGTACATTTTTTAATTCAATATTAGATTTTCTACTATCTCTTTGCATATCTTCCACCTTTTCTTCCAATAAAGTAATGTATTCTCTGTCTTTTTTAATCTGTAATTCCATTGTTTCTATTTTACTTCTGAATTCTTCGTTTTGGCTGGTAAGGATAGCAATAGAGTTGTCGATATTATGATTGGATTGTTGAATCTCTTTTATGCTACAGGTAATCTTTTCAAGTTCCGTCTTTTGTGTTGCCATAAAAGAGGATAACAACGCTTTAATTTCTTCTTTAAAATTATCTAATTCCGTTGCCGTTTCATCCTCTCGCGCCCTTTTAAACCTTTGAGAAACGAACGTTGACTCCGTGCTTTCAGACAACTCATTTAACTGTGAGTCCGAGGCAGATTTGTCTATAGTACTTGGTAGAGTAATTGATGTAGTTTTTTTTTTGTTTAGGTGGTGGGCTGCGTTTTAGTGGCATTATTATCAGGACTATATAACTGGTTGAAATACAACAACAAAATTATTTGCGATTAATTGAGGAAATACGATGTTGTTATTACACTTGAAGATTAAGTACCAGGATATCATAACCATAAAGGTGGTAGAAGAGTAAGTTGTAGGTGACGGAGTACGATGTTCGCTATTCGGTAGTCTATACTTGCAGGTTTAGTACCAGGATATCAAAATCACATGGTGGTACATATGGTGGTGGCTGTGAGGTCTTTCCAGAGCGAGGGAGACGACCAGGCAGCTTTCCAGCTCACAGCGAATAATGTAGTGGATTATCGATTATATTTATAAGGCTTAGTACCAGGACAGCATAATCTTAAAGGCGTTGTAATAATAGTATGAATCGTACCGTATGATGTGCTATGATTATGATGATATGATGGTGTGTCCAAGCTTGAGGGTGTGGTTTTGTCAGAAGAAAGCGGGACAACACGCGAATGGCTGTGGTGCAGCGTCAGGGCGGAGATTGCTTCAACGAGGTACTAGGAGCGCATACGCAGTTTGGATGCGTTTCGCGGTACTCCGTACGCGTGCGTCTTGGGTCGAATCAATCACTCCTTTAGATTTTGTTCTCCTAATTTTTTGCGTGAATTTTACTATTTACTTTTTACTTAATTATTTAAATAACACTTAAAGCACAGGTCTAGATACGTCTACTCGTAAACGAGGTCCAAGGGAAAGAGGGAGAGGGAAATGCGTATTACGTTCAACTTTTTGACATAAAACAGTATCGCATAAACGTCAAAAATGTGATACAGACTTAACAAGTTAGGAGGTGGTTTTTCTGTATCAAATTCCTTTTTTTTTTAATAAAAAAGAGTAAAATGGCTCGTTTCGGGTTAGTAATGGACTATTTAGAACGAGCTCATGCTGAGGACATGCGCAGAAGAGATAAACCCCTTGTAGAAGAGATACAATTAGCTCTTTATCTTTTTCTTTTTCTTTTCTCCGAAAAATGCGATATCAAAATGACATCAAATTAAGCGTATTATGATCAACTCTTTAAAATGATATTAACTTGATATCAACTTAAATGAGTATTATGTTCAACTTTTTGACTTAAAACAGTATCGCATAAACGTCAAAAAGTGATACAGACATGATACAGAATTAACAAGTTAAGAGGTCGTTCTGCGTGCACGCACTACAATACAAATGACTGACAAGTTCGCCGACAAATCTGTGAAAGCACACACACGTACGGATTTGTACGGCGCGGCTGGGGTGCGGCGCGGCGCTCGCGTCTCTCGACGGCCGCGCCGTACAAATCCGTACGTGTGTGTGTTTGCACAGATTTATCGGCGAACTTGTCAGTCATTTGTAGTGCGTGCACGTAGAACCACCTCTTAACTTGTTAATACTGGATCACGTCTGTATCACTATTTTGACGTTTATGCGATAGTGTTTTAAGTCAAAAAGTTGAACATAATACGCATTTAAGTTGATATCAAGTTAATATCATTTTAAAGAGTTGATCATAATACGCTTAATTTGATATCATTTTGATATCGCATTTTTCGGAGAGCATAATACGTAATGTGAAATTAACATCAAAACAATATCACAATTAGCGAACATAAAGACCTAATTGTATCTCTTCTACGGATGTCCTCGGCATGAGCACGTTCTAAATAGTCCATTACTAACACGAAATGAGACATTTTACTCTTTTTTATTAAAAAATAAAGAAATTTGATACAGAAAAACCACCTCCTAACTTGTTAAGTCTGTATCACATTTTTGACGTTTATGCGATACTGTTTTATGTCAAAAAGTTGAACGTAATACGCATTTGAGTTGATATCATTTTAAAGTTGATGTCAAGTTGATGTCATTTTGATATCGCATTTTTCGGAGAGCATAATGCGTAATGTGAAATTGACATCAAAACAATATCACAATTAGCGAGTATAATTGGCCTGCAGTTGTGTTGTTTGTATCACGAACGAGTAAACGAGTATAATAACATATCGTTCGGCGATCATAAAGAGTTTTGGCAAGAATTTATCCTGCTGTTTAAAGAGAAAACTAAAGAGAAGCAGGTGGTTTACAGGACTGAATGCATTGCAGCAATTTTAAATAAGTATATTTTGTTCGTTGTTTCAGCCATTCCTTTGTTCAGACGCTCTTTTTCTTTTTTTGCTCCGTTAAAAGTATTGCACCGACTACTAAAGCGACTTTTGTGCGTTTGGAATGCACCGGTGGCATGGTAGGGTAGGGAAGAACGATACGCGCGAGGCTCACCAAAGTACACAAGCGACTGGACTGCAACTCGGCGCTCGTGTAGTGTGTGGGCAATGACGGATTTGTCCACGGATGGGTACGGCTCGGGGTTCGGCTCGCGGTGCGTGTAGTGAATGGTGGGCTTTAGAGGCCTTCCCGGCCAAAGGCAGCTCCTACGGGTGTTTTTTAGTCAGTACGAGTCTGACATAACCTTGCAGCCGGCTGTAGGGTATCCATGAGGATTTCACACCTGCTCCCCTGCCTGGGAGGAAACAAAAAAAAATAAAAAAAGAAAGCGAGCGAGCTTCAATATTTTGCTATTGATGCGTTCAGAGCGCTCGACCTTATTGACAGACAATAATTGATATTGAGGAACCGTGCTTTAAATAGTTTATTTGAATTTCTTTTGTTGTTATTTTGTAAAATAGGTATTAGTTGTTTTGTTAGTGTTTAAATATTCGTTCAAATTAAAAATTATTAAGCGTAGGTACTTTTATTAATTAAAGTAGTTATAAGTATTTATTTTTAAGTGAAGTAGGTATAGGTAGATAGTATTGCACAGGCGTTTCAGCTTTATTTTCATTTCTTTTTTGTTGTGAGGTGTATATATTTCTGGTTATAATTCTATAAGAATATTTTAGTTTAAATAGTCACTTAGATTTTAAGTGTAAGGTAGCTAAAGTTAGGACCACGTATTAGTTGTTTTGGTAGTGTTTAAATATTCGTTCAAAGTGTAATTTAATCATATGGGATGAATGTACGATGGCCCATCGAAAAGGAGTAGAAGCGGTAGATGGAACTTTAAGGGATATAAAACAAAATGATCGACCAATGGGCGGTATCACAGTTTTATTTTGTGGTGATTTCCGACAAACCTTACCGGTAATACCACGGGGAACCCGAGCTGATGAGGTTAAAGCTTGCCTGAAAAGCTCTTATTTGTGGCGTGATATACAATCGGTGCATTTGACTATAAACATGCGAGTGAGAACTGTAGATACCCAGGATGATCGTGAATTTTCTGATATATTATTAAAGAAAATACCTTCACCAAAGATACGTATCCACTGCTACACCAAGGAAAACTTATTCTGACGCCTGAGTTATGTTGTATAGTGCAATCCCAACAACATCTTATATCGTCAGTTTACGGTGACGTAACAAATATATTAAATAAGGATAATTCTTGGCTATGCGAAAGGTCCACTTTAACTCCTCGCAATGACCAGGCATCTGAGATTAATAATAAAATACTGTCGAATATCCAGGGGGAAAGCAAAGTTTATAGTTCAATAAATAGAATGGCCGATGAACAAGAAACCACTAATTACCCGATAGAATTTTTAAATTCTTTAAATATGCCCGGACTTCCTTCTCATGAAATTTGTTTAAAAATTGGCATTCCGATTATTCTGCTCCGAAATTTAAGACCACCACAACTTTGCAATGGAACTCGGCTTAAAGTAACCCAGTTGCAACAAAATGTAATCGAGGCTCAAATTTTAATAGGTTGCGGTGCAGGAGAAACCATTTTTATTCCTAGAATTCCCATGATACCAAATAATTTTCCATTCCAATTTAAAAGAACGCAATTCCCAGTATCGGTGTGTTATGCAATGACAATAAATAAAGCTCAAGGGCAGACTTTTCGTGTTGCTATAGTAGATCTCGGTGTCAGTTGTTTTTCACATGGTCAGTTATATGTCGCTCTTTCCCGGGTTAGCAGTTCTAGAAATCTTTATATTCACGTGCCGGACGGGTCAATTTTCAACGTAGTTTACCCGGAAGCTTTGCGCTGAAGTATTTTCATTCTATATGTACTTAAGCCTCATGTAAAAGTGAGCTAAACAATATTACCAATACATTAACATAATAACATACAAGGAGTTACACGCTGATGATCTCGGGGCACAGTGATAATAATAATATTCTGCGGTTCCTTCTTGCGATATTTTTAACAGTATTGTGGATTGACATATTAAACTACTTGACCGTCACTGAAAGCTTTATATTGAGATAGCACTTCCGTTTCCCGTCGAATTACCATCAGTTTCCGTACTTTTATTCACCTTGTATCCGGTCCAGTGGCGACACCTGGCAGAAGAGCGGCCATTTTTGTTTTCCTAAGTTTTGACAGCGCCATATTAACTCATTGGCGTTCTGACTCCCGTCGAAGCAACACGTGCTCAATCTGAGCGATCGTTGTGCGATTTTAAAGGTTTTATTATTATTAAGTGATAAAACTGTAAGTAAAACTATTTTATTTAACGGTTTTTGCCGTTCGTGTTATTCCAAATAGGTACTTTACGTATTAAAAGTGAAGGAACCGTAAGTAAAACTATAATTCTTTTTGATAGTTTTTGCAGCCCTTGTGATAAGGATATTTAAAACAAATATGTTAAATTGTGCAATACGCTTGTTTGAAAAAGTAATAATAAGCCGTGAGTAAAACTTAACGGCAATTCAAGGTGCGTTTTGGTTTAAAAAAATTAAAGTACCTACATTAAAGTAAATTTTGCAATACTTTACGTCTGTCTTGGTCGTTTATCATAAAAACTATTTTAAGAGTGTTTTCTCTTGGTACTCAATTAATGTTTCCGTATAAGTAAATGTGAAAGTAAATTGGTAAATGTATTACAAAATACTTAATTAAATTGTTTTACAGTTTAGAGTGAAGGAATATCGGTCAATATTGACGTTTCAGCCGCCGACTGACTGGCATTATTGGCAAAAACAGCAAGATGTGTGGATCTAGTCATTATTGTTCTTCGAACAGCTGCAGTAATAAATGGTTGAATTTGTCGTCTTCTGGTATAACGAAAGCGGCATCGCTGCCTCAAGAAAAATAAGCGAGCTTGATATTCCAGCCCTTTTATTAAAAGATTGTTCGTGGGGTAAGTAAACTATGTACAATCTTAATAAGGTATTTCTAATGTCGATATGCCGTTTTCTGAACATGGCCACCAGCTATCAATATGTAAAGGCTTATGAATAAAAAGTTCTAACATTTTTACTGACCAATTCACGTAATAAAAATTCTCATATGAGTCGTGTGACTAAACTAGGATAAAGGAACGCTCTGTTCGAAAGACATTCAACGTTTATTTTAAATGATATGCTGATGTAAATTAAAAATTATAATCATAGTCCAGGCTTTATCAACCTGGAAACAAACAACGAGGTAAAGAAGTATTATGACAATTTATGATATATCACGTTCCTGACATTAATTTTCTTTCAGCAATTGCATATTTTTAAAATAAAAATGAATCATTGCGGGAAGGCACCTGCTCAGTTAATTTTAATAACGAAAGTGATAAGATAACAGAATCGTTTCTTAGGTCTTTTACAGCTAGCACAAAGCTAAAAAGTAAAAACTAAAGCACTGCAAGAAATTAGTGATCTCTGTGATGAAGCACCACTTAATAAGATACCATCTATGAGGTTGTTTTTATCGTATTAAGTAAGTATTTGTCATGGATTTAAGTGATTGACATTTCATCAACCTAATGAGCAACTCGCGTAGAGGCAAGTGATATTCATAAGCTTCATCTCATGAAGCCCAAGGCGTGTCAGGACATGCCCTCCCATGGCGTACCTACACATATGAGTACCGGTGGCAAATCACCCTCGCAGGGTGCATATTATATATAATTTGTTTCCACTACGTGGAATCTTATTAAATGCCTCTAATGCCTTGTCTACATATACGAGTACCGGTGGCAAATCACCCTCGCGGGGTGAATATTATGTACAATTAGTTTCCACTGCGTGGAACCTTATGAAATGCCTCTAATGCCTTGCCTACATATACGAGTACCGGTAGCAAATCACCCTCGCGGGGTGCATATTATATACAATTTGTTTCCACTACGTGAAACCTTATGAAATACCTCTAATGCCTTGCTTACATATACGAGTACCGGTAGCAAACCACCTTCGCGGCGTGCATATTACCAAAACTCTGATGACCGCCCCTCGCGGGGGCATATTATGTATAATTTGCTTCCTCCGTATGGAACTCATTATGAATAAGGACTTGCCTTCCATGGCTTGCCTACACATACAAGTATCAGTAACAAAACATCGTTGATA